AAAGCGCTCATGTGGTATGGGGTAACCCTTTAGTGCTACTGTTTGTATCGACTACAGTAATCCCAATTCTTGGACAGGAAGAGGCCTTTGGGTGGGTGAACCAGTTCGCTCGGGCGAAACGAGCTCAGATAATGGGTTAATTTCCATTACAATTATAATTATAGATGTTTGTGCTGGTATATTTGTAGCGGTTAGTCGCCTGATTATCTTCGGACCGAAATGGTCATCCTCCCCATAGCACATGAGCGCCCATATTGATTTTGAATTGTGCAAAATATCCCAAAAGTAGTTCTTTGACGTAATTTCAGGCATTTGTGGTGCACACACGTGTAGGTGGAAATTCGTTACCGTATGCCGATATTCTTTACCAATTACGGCAAGTGCTTCGGATGTCGGAAGCGAGGAAAGGACTCGCTGTAGCCATTGGTGCCGCTGGAGTTGGTGACCGTGACAGATCTGCACGGTTCTGGAGCGCTATGAGAGAGGGTGGGTCATTCGGAATCCCTATTGAACAGCTCTTCGACAAACATTGCCGATGACATACTGATCTCAAAGGCAGTAGTAGCTTGCAGTCTTATATACTGTACACATAATAAAAGCTTGGGGCGTAATTAAGGCTGACCACGGTCCATCGAATTGACCGGAAATTTCGCATTTGCCATTCTTCCGCTGTCAAACAAATCAGTCTTCAAAGTAATTTCATTTGCACTATACAGCTTTCACTTGAGATGCTTCCTTGAAAGGATACCTCATATTTGGTGTGAACGGAGTATTTGGCTGGCAGTATTGTTGATGAGATGCTTCTTGACTTCTGACAAGGTTTTGACTTTGACTTCTCAGGTCAGATCTGGAAGGTGGATTTAAGATTGGCGTTTAGAGGCTCATCCAATAAGGGGTACAAGAGGTTTACATCTCTTCTGGAATGGCCACGGCGACCTGGGAGCTTTTCCTGTGAGCAGTACCATCACAGAAATGAAATAGGCCAAGGCGATGAGGTGGGGATCTTAAAAGAACAGTCGGATGGTTGAAGTTACTCTCCCGACTGAAGGAAGAGATACCATCTATTTCAGAAAACCAGAAGCGTGTCGAGTGCAGATCCATACACCACTAGTGCGTCCACAAAATGTGAATGTTTTCTGCCAATGAAATGATTAGCCTGTTGCAGTTGTATTCTATCAGTTGTCACTAATTACAACTATCATTTACCAACTATCAGCTATCACTATGAATCACTAGTTACCAGATTTACTTGGAGGCCGTCGTCACTTGTGGTGTGTGGTCTGCACTCGACGCGCTTCTGGTTTTCTGAAACAAAATCTAAAAAAGGTTACTAAAGATGGTATGTATGTGATTCGTATACGAAGCAGTAAGTGCTAGTTGACCTGCCAGTGAAGAGAAAAGGAAATAAGCCGCTGTAAACACCCCGAAAAGGCTCTTCATTCGGTCGCTACGCAAGGAAGTCAAAGCAGAGGTACGATGTGGATTGCCAGGAAGAGAACATGGAAAAAGAAAGGTTGAAGAAAAAGTCCTTTATCGGCATTCGGCTGGTATTCCAGCCGTTGTAAGACAGTATGCATGAAAGACACTGGGCACTGAGGCGGAGAACAGACCCAGAGGTGGGATAACGCAGTGGATAAGTGTCGCTGACGACTCATCACATATATAGACTTGCATGTCTAGTTTTTGAGTGAATATTGGAATATTATAAGGGAATGGTGATTCAAAATGCGGTCAGCTGACAGGGCCTTCGCGCGGCAGGAAGGTCGAGTCTGGACGAGTCACAGCGCGTACTGTAGTGATTTGATTAGATGATCAGGTTTCGCGTCAAGTTGAATAGAACGTACCATTCACGTCCCAAATCGTACATCACGCACTACGACTCGTCCACCTACTCTGTCTTTTTGCCGCGCGGCCATCCTCCTGCCGGGTACCCAAAAAATTTAGCCTCCTTACAATGTTTTTGAGTCGCCAGTCGGGATCTCAGCCTGATTTGGGCCAACTATTGCTTCTATTAGAACACAAATGGTGTATAGGGTGAGAGCTTTCTGTGGATAGAAAAGCGTTGTGTGACAATGGACATCCTTCACACATACTATGGCATTCGAGTATTGCTATGAAACCTGAGCGGAACTCTCATTTGTGGTGCATCTGGAAAGAATATGTCTATCTGACCAGCTTACCATTTTTGCTCTGAATCTTTCATAATTTTCACGCCCTTCAGTTGACACCAACTGCATTTCGCTGACATGGGCACGCGATGCGTTGTTCGTCGTTTGCTTAGATGATGAGGACACAAAAAGCGCTTCTGCTCAGAACAATGCCGATTCGCAGTCCCAGGAGAGGAACCTCGTTCAACAAGGAAAGCATATTTTAACCGGTGGCGGTAGCCAAGCTCATGGCTTGAATCGGTGGTTCGACGCCACTATTCAGGTTAGCCTTAGACTTTCAAGAAAGCGCAGCATCTGCACTCATCTGTTTCAGCTCGTCGTCAGTAGTAGTGGTACAAACGGTTTGTGCATCGAGCACTCGGCTGCCGAGGGTATCGTCATTATCAACATGGCCGAAAGTGCGCTCAGATACGAACGAGAAAATAGGAAACGAATTATAGTAAGTTTACTAACAGACGATTTTTAAAAGGTTTATTCTTTAAGTATCGCGCAAAGGTTGACGTTCAAAGTCTCACCTTTTTCTCTTTCGTGCTGGCTGACGCTCTCGCACACTATCGCCTTTCAAGGAAGAGCCTTCCGCATATAAGCGACCTGCTAGCTTTGAGTTTCGACATCTCAAGGTCTCCCTAAGAAGCGGCATAGAACTATGCATTCCTCGATAAGGATAAAGACATAATGACCCCTATTGTTAGATGAGCTACGCTTCCTTTTTCTTTGGAAATGAAGGGATATTTGACGGCTGGGTTGCCTCACACTAAATTTTACGAGCTAGCGGAACTGCAACATTGTGTTCTATCGTTTTAGAAAATTTGAAAGCTGACCGCTAAAATATGAAAAACCTCTTTGAACAACTATAATATTTTAATCAGGTCTATGTACATAAAAGGCATCCTTTTAGTGGGTGGAGTCTGCTAGAATAAGAGGCGTAATTCCGCACTTTCTCGATTATTCCAGCCCAGTCGAGCTGAACGTGAGATGAGCGCGAAGCCGTTATCTTGGCATGTTGGTGCTGATGGCTTGGAAGTTCTCAGAAAACAAGCATCCGAACTCGACGAGTGAGTTTCCAGTCATCAATAAAACTGATAACATATAAGGCTCTGATGTCTCTTTTGGAGTGGGTCAAGTATTTAATCTCACCTCAAAATCCTAGTGCTTTTAAGAATGAAATTGGCCTATACAATTACAAGGGGACGGTGGTGCCAAACTACATCTAATGCTAGCCTGTTTATTAACTTTCCTGACAGGTCTGGCGGCTCTCAAATAAACACAGATTGATGGAAGGCAGGATTAGGCTGGGTTTAC